AGTAAAAGTAGCAGAAACATATTATGAACAATGAAGCAATTAAATTAAGAATGATGAATTTATTTATTACAAGTATTTGGTTCTTATTATTCCATTATTTAGAGTTATATATTAAAAAATTTAAAATTAAATGATGTGAAATGCTCATTTAAAAATATTTAGTATGATTACTTATGCTTAAAGATCAGGAGGATAGTAGACCTTCGGATGCCTTCGAAGGCGAAATATTTGATATAAGTTCTTCAATTTTATTGTGGTATTTATTTACTGTCATTAAATGCCACATTATAATTGTGTTATGAAAGCGATTCTTGCTTTAATTTTTAAAAAAAAATTAAAGATAATTTTATGTTTTAAAAATTAAATTTCCAAGTACAAGCTACTCAAAAAAAAATTAAATTTCAATTTTGAATTTTTTACAATTTACTTTCCAATTGTTTACAACCAAATTCATTTTACACTCATTGTATGTTTTTACATATTTATTTTTTTATAAATGAAAAATTTCAAGGTTACAAGTATAATATTTTCAATTAAACCGATTGTAATGTAAATATTCAGTATTTTGATTACTTTTCCGCGTAAAAAAAAAGTAAATGTACAAATTAAATTTTTTTTAATTAAGTTTTTGTTTTTGTGAAATATTCGGCATTTCAATTCGAAGAAAAAACAAAAATTCACTCATGTAAGTTAACGAGGGATCAAATAGCGGGCATGTTAAAACAAGTTCAAACATGTTTCATCAGACATATTTCATCGTGAGAATTCTTCTACGCTGAATATTAATATTAAAACATGTTCAAATACGTTTCCAGCAAACATCATATTTCAGCATGAGAATTTCTTAACGCAAAAATATGTTCCCACAAAAAGTGCTGACGACATGTCTACGCTGTACTGTGAGAAATTTTTAGTTAGGAAAATAACATAAAATTAAATTTGCTAAATAAGCAAATTTTATACTATAAATTAGGTAACATTTAGATTAAGAATTTAGTCTTAGATAGTCTTAGACATTAATTGAACTAAGCATTAAAGTCTTAGAATAGTCTTAAAATTTAATTGTAAAGTTATATTAAATTTTAACCTAGTGTTGTGAAATAAAACGTATTGTAAAAGTAATCTTAAAGAAATAAAACGTATTATAAAAGTAATTTTAAAATCGAAATAAAATTATTTTTTTTAAACGAATTTTGACACAAAATTCGTAACTTGTATGTGAAGATGGCAGCTATCATGTTTTGATGGTTTGTTTGATCATAACGTACAGGGTTAGTAATGTTAAAGGTAAAATTATATTTAACCCTTTTCACTCCGAGTGCTTTTTACTGAAGATAGCTGTGCGGCAACCCCGTGATATTTTTGCGTTGGAGTACTGGCATTGATAGCACTGGCGTAATAGCGATACCTACGGAGTGCAAAGGGTTAAATTTTGCATATGCACAATTACTCAATAAGTGAGCAAATAAATTTTGTTTGGTCTTAAAGAAGAACTTTAGATTGGAAATTTAAAAAAAAAAAGTTTTTACAATTTATAAGAATTTTAATGAAAAATCGGAATTCCCAGATTGCGCATCAAACTAGTTTAGCTCAATAAAAATTGAATTTCTTTGTGGTCGAAATTAAATAACCATTTATTAAGAAATTTTACAAAAACTGACAAAATTCGAACTGACCTAAGATCAATTAGCAATAAATTGAATATTTTTGGCACAATCGAAATGTATAGAAATGAGAAAAATTACAAAGTTTACCACTTAAAACAACTGGTATGCTCATATCATTAATTCTTAATTTATAATTAGAATAAAATCTTTGCGCCAAATAGCCAGACCGCATGACAGAAATATTTAAAGATTTAAAATAATATATAAGTGAGGAAGAGGGAGCACATTTAAGTATTTAAACAATAAAAAACTAGGTAGAAATTTATTCTTCCTTAGCAAGATTCTTATTGGAATAAGATCTGCCCCAACAAACAATAACCAATTGAAGCTTGGAATTGATTACAAAATTTTTGCTATTTAAAATTAAAATTACCCTCCAATATTTTATCGTCCTGTTAAATGAAACAGAAAATTCAAATTTTTATAATATAAACTTATGTTACCTGAGGTAGTATATCTGTTTGGGTTATCATAATTACATAAATGCATATACATAATGTTCAAAATACGATTATTTAGGTACTATCAGTTAAAAAACGCTGTTGCAACCATAAATACATCTATATAGACTGGGGAAAAAAAAGTAACTGGTTTCCATAACAAAATCATAATTAAAAATTTTTTTTTTGTAATTACTTTTTGAGTGTAAATATTCTATATTGCTGGTGTTATTAACTTGTACTCATTCACAAACATCTATACGTACATGTGGTATTACAAAATACATTAGTTTTAGTTTAAACATTTATTTTGGTAATTATAATTTTCAAATATTAAAAATAGAAAATTATAAAATGGAATACATGTAATTTACTATTTTGATTTTTAATTAAAAATATTTCTATATTTTATATTATTTTTCCTAGATTTTAAATTTAATATGAAAACGTACTTATGTATGTATGTGTATTGCACATTATAACCTCGCAGGAATTTTATTTTCCGTGATGTACATTAAATTTTGTAATATTGAACGTAAGATTACAGCGAACTTATTAAATTTTTTTACTTTTTTTACAAAATTTTAATGAACTTATATATAACCGCATGAAAATATATAAATAAAATGGTGAAGGATTGAATTTTTTTATTATGAATGAATTGGTTCCGGGAATTTATTCATTTTGCAAAAATTTATTCGAAAAAGATTTTATTATATTTGAAGAGTTTTTTAATTTTCAATTGTAAATGATTTTTGAAAATTTTAAGATCAAATTTCAATTATCAAAATATTTGACTAAAAATTTTATACTATGGAAATATTTTATTTCTTGTACCTATACTAATTGGAATAGTGCATTAATTTTACAATAATGAGAACTAGACTATTAGGCAATCTTATAAATAATAGATCTTGCTTTCGTGTTAGTCCGCGCAAATTCTCGACTCCAAAATTTTATAAAACGACCTTTTCAGTAAGAATGACACTCTTCCATTCACTCTTCTTGTATGCAATACCTTGTGGTCTAGCTAACTCTTCAATATTTAATAAATACCAATAAAAATTATTTTATTTTTTTTTGCAATACAATTAAAAAAATTTAATTAAAAAACAATGGTTCATAATATTTTATAAAAAAGTACCAAAATTATATCTACATATTTTATTTTAATATTTTTCCGAGGTAATTTTTCGTATTGACTTTGTATAATATTATAATAATTGGTTTCAAATTTAATTGTATTGATATTGGCTACTAAAAATAATTAAAATATAGGTTTTATGATGGGTAAAAGTAATTAAAATTTGTAATGTTGAAATTAAATTTGTTTCATTTTATTGCCAAAATAAATTTATAATTATTTTTATTGCAAAAATTTACATTGTGAGTTCATTTTACTTTGAAGTGGCAAATTTTTAACCAAAGCAGCATGACATTATTATACGGCTGTTATGGTATTGAATTTTTATTTAATTTTGTAATTTCGAAAATAAATTTATTAAGTTATTGAATTTATATTTTATATTTAAGAACTATTTATTACTGAAGTTTTCAGAGTACAAGTTAAATAGGTCTATAGAAAATATTTCTACGGATAAGATATTTTAAGTATTTAGAAAAAATGATTGAGATTACCTTGCACAACTTTGGATTAACTGCTAAAGAAGCTATCAATTCGAACAACGCTATTCTATTTCCAATTAAATTAACTTGTATATTTACAGTAATGCCTCGACAGCAGTCCGCAAAGAACCCTTCAGACTTCATTAAGATAAAAAAAACTTCTCAAACAAAACTTTCAAAGTCATTCAAGTTGAATCATAGTTAGTTTTTGGAGACTTCAAGAACTTTAAACTAGAGAATTGTAGGTGGTATCGTTATAGTGGCCGATTTGTGAAATCATTTACGGTTATTAGTGTAATGGATTGATCTGTAAATAAAAGAGTTTTGATTGGAATTGGAATTTTTGTGTTATTTTGGTGTGTTTTCATTAATATTAGCGAATTTTCAGAAGATTCTTGAACTCAGTGATTTTTTAAGTGTTGCGATTGGTTATCAAAAACGATTATGATTTAGAAAAAAATTTAACTAACGGAAAAAATACCTTGAACCGCATTAATTTTTAATATTTAATAATCTTACCTATATGTTATATTTTAACAGACTTTGTCGTCACTTAATTAAAAAATGGTGATAAAACTGTTTTTGGGTACACATCATAATGAATAAATTTCACTTTCATAATATTATTTTCTGCGATCTTTATGGAATTTTTATTGCAAAGTTGCAAAATGGAAAAAATTTCATAAATACAATTTTTATATCACATATCGTGTACCTGCACTGTTGCCTACACCAAAATCACCTTTTAATTTGCAATAATAAAACAAGCAAAATAAAAACTGAGAGAAAAGAGAATTTTTTTTTTAGTTTTTAAAACGTCTACCATAAAGTGGGTCGAGGTCATTTATGCTAAATTTGTCACTCTGTTTACATTTTGTTTTTCTCACTAAAATCAGCTGATATAAAAAACAACTCTGAGTAAGAGGAATCGGAATAAGAGATGAAATTACATAATAATAAAAATTACTACTAATTCTCTGAATTTAAAAATCTATAATTGAAAACTAGTTTTAGTTTAAGATTAGTTTCGGTTATTAAAAGATGTTATAGCCAATGATTCGGATAATTTTAATTCTTGAACAATTTTAGTAAAAATAAAATGAAATTTATTATTAGAAAATAATTTAAGTGAAATATTCAATTAAAGTTAATTTACTAAAAAAAAAAAAATTATTATTATTTTAATAATTAAGAGAAAATAAAATCAAAAATGTTACAAAATTGTAATTATTCAAATGAAAAATTAAATGAAATATTTAATTTAAAGGTGAATAATGAAGGTAAAAATGACGAGGTTAATAATTCAAGTGGAAATCATAATGATGATTTAAAATCAATTAATAATGATCATTATTATCCAGAAATCCGTGTATTAAATATAAAAAAAGATTCTAAAAATAGTGATGGATCATGCGGTTTCAATTTGTCAAGAAGTAAATGGGATCCATATCCATGGGTAAATACAAACAAATTCAATTTTAAATCTATATTATTAAAAATTTGAAATGCTTAAATATAAAAAATCTAGGAAATACTCGTATGATTAAAATGACTTTAAAGCTCATTTTCTTTGATGTTATGAGTAATTTGTAAGCAAATAAATATTTTTTTTTCGTATAGCAATGACAACCAGTTTTAAAAGAATCACAAGTTTGTATAGCTAAAAACTTTTATTCAAGTTTTGTTTTGTTAAAATTAGATACAGAAAAAATTTTCAAGCTTCTTGGGAAGTGTAATATAAGAAAATTAACTTTAAAAAGTATAAATGTAAGAAGCATCCGCATATTTTGAGAGGGAAGTAAATTAAATTTTTAAGAACAGAAAAAGTATTCAAATACATCGGAAAGAATAAAAGCAGACTTACTTTTTGAAGGCAAGATCATATTTTATTTGAATGAATATGCGGAAGAAGATAAGAAAGCTGTACACGGTGTCAGGTGTTGATAGTCATATGGGGAGAAAAGCGGGGATATTTTGAATCGCGGTGAAAAAATATATTAATTAAATTTTCTCACATGAAATTGTTTGGAATTTATGCCTCGCAATTTGTTATTTAAATATCTTAAAAGTACTTCGTTTTAGTTTGTGAACCCTTAACCGCTAATGATGGACGTCATTTGCTCAAATTTTTCCTCCTTGTATTTTTTTCTTGTTTTGCAGCACTGATAATTTCGATAGTAAAAAAATACCAAGTTATTGACTCCTACTGACTTTTCAGAGGGGTAAGAGCTTAGAGCATATTAAAGATTTGACGTTCAGCTAGCGTTTCCTAATCAATTTAGCGACCGTATTTAGTGTGATATAAATTTTCTTCTAATATCAACTCATTTTATTCGAAAATATGGGAAATATTGAAAACTTGTAAAACTTTCAACATTTCAACTTACTCAAATTTCCGGAACTAAATTTTTGTTTTGGTTTTTTTGCTTGCTTTTATTCTAATACTCGTACGCTTGTAGTTTCTGTTACGAGTAGAATATTCATTGAAAAATTTTTCAAAAAATTTTATATTTTGTTTTTTTTTACTTTGCTTTGCTTTTCTTTTCAACTTTGCTTTTTCGCTCAATAATTAATAAAAAAAAAAAAAATTTTAAATATTTTTAAAATAGTTGTTTATCGCATTCGTATTGTTACAGGTGAGTGCTGTTGATCGAAATTTTCCAGCATATAATGCCGGTTTGAAGGTTGGTGACTGCGTTTTAGAGGTTAGTTTAATTTGTTTTTATATTTCATTAAATAAATTTTACACAGTTATAAATAAATGTTTGTTTGCTTGCATTTATGTGAGCATATTTAAAATTTCATAAAGCTACATATATAGCCTTATATTTTATTTGCTCTTAATATTTTAATTAAGAATAAATGTTAATACAGACTGTAAGGAAAATATTTTAATTCATTACCATGCAAATTTTATAAATAATGTAAAATTTATAAATAAATTAAAAATTAATTTAGATGTGTCTATATTTTTTTTTAAATTATTGATAGAACTGAAAATAATTCAATTATTAATAAATTAATTTTAAAAAATTTTAGGTTAATGGGCAAGATATTCTGGGTCTACGTATATCTGAAATAGCAAATATCGTAAAGACGAAACCGGATAATTTAACACTTTTATTATGGTGTACAGGAAGAGATCCAGCATGTGATGAAAATGTAAGAGTATTTTAAATAAATTATCTTCATAGCTTGGAAAAAACAAAATAACTCTGGATCATAGTCATGAAAATTTAAATATGTGCTTAAATCTTAATAGTTTTCTAAAAAAGAGCCAACTTAATTTCAGTCGCATTGAGTTTTGCATAAAAATACTTTAGATAAAGTAGACTTAATTCACGAACACAAATTTTACTTAAAAACAAATTTTTCATACAATTATATGATTTTGTCAATGTTAATAAATTTCAATGTCTTCAAATTGCCACTTCTAATATTATATATTCCTGATGAACTAAATGTCGTTGAAAAATGGTTTTAAGACTTTTTATACACATAAATAAAATATAATAAATTAGTAAATTTTGTGAAGCTCCATGTCTTAACAGTCTTAAATGGTGCATGCTCGGTAATAAAGCAATAATACATAAATTGTTTTATTCAATTTCCTCCTAAATGAAATTTTATTTTAACAATGAATAAATTAATTGGATGTATATTAATTTAAGAAGTATTAAAACTCACGTATGTATGTGCACATATATGCCTTCCGAATTGCATATTTTCAACAATCATCTTTAACTCTTTTTGATTGTTAACTTCATTTTTAAATCACAAATTGCATTTTAATTAAATTTTTAGATAAATAAAAATTATATTTACACATACTACATACACATAGTATACATTCATTTTTTATTAAATATCAAGTATGTATATATAATATTGCATTCATATCAAATTTTAATTTTGCACATTATATAACATATTTTGTATATTGAAATAACTTATATGAAAAAACTACAAAGAACTCTATTTAAATTAAATTTTTTGGTTATAGAAGGCAATATTTCCTTTCCCAGATTTTTGATTTTATCTTTACGAAAATAAATAAATTATACAATTTTATTGAATTGAATTTCTTTTTAACGACAACATAAAAATTAAGTATACTCCTTATTCTTCCAAAAAAATAGGACAAAAGCATAAGAGTTTGATGTGTACACGATATGATCGATTTTATAATTTTTTAATCATCTATGATGAATTTTTAATTTTGAATCATGCATAATCTTGGGAACTACATTGTATTTAAAATTGCGGAAAACTACAAATTTTAAAATTTTGTTCAGTTTACACAATAAGCACTGAAACTCAACTTTTTACCATTATCCAACCAAATTTATACAGAAGAAAGAACATATTTACTATAATAGTTATAGACACACTTGTATCACACTACTGCAATAATTAAAATTTTAAATCAGCCTTGCTAATAAAGGCTTACTGCGTTAGGACATCATTTCCTCCGATATTATTCTTTAAGACAAATTGTAATTTAAACGCAAATTACTTCAATGTGCATAAACAAGTTTATATTTATTAGTTATATGAAATTTGAGCTGGAGTCAACACTGCTCTTCTTCGATTGAATATGGTTTGATAAAGAGAAAATAATAAAACTGTAATTTCATCCCATATAATTACACATAAATTACACAGCCACACATCCTTTTCCTGCTGCAATAATATAAAATCAAAAATTCAGAAATTCAATTTAATTTTCAACAAAAAAAAAACAACAATAAGAAAAACAAGAACTCAAAAAATCAATTTTGGTCAAAAAAGAAAATTGAATTTCTCTTTGTTGTGAGAGTTTTCTATCCTTATGAGCTCTTTATTTGTTGAAAAAAATTTTTTTTTTCCCACATTTTGTTTTATTTTTCATATTATATAAAAGAAATAACTCAAAAAAAAACAAAAATAAAAACAATAAAATAGAAAATTAACTTTATTTATTTTTCTTTTCAAACAATACAATTCTAGAGTCTTTGTTGTGGTCCGATGCCATTGAGCTTAGAACGCTTATCAGCTAGTATGCAAACAATTTTGGCATGCCTTGAATGTCCTGTTTGTATGGATATTGTACCAGCACCAGTATCACAATGCCAAAATGGTCATATATTATGTATAAAATGTCGTAGTAAATCAGAGAAATGTCCTATATGTCGTCAACATTATAGTTGTGTGAGATCTTTAATTGCTGAACAGATTTACAATTCCATTTTAGATGCATTTAAATTAAATAGTAATGATGACCAAAATACTGATGATGTTCACTTAAATAATGCTGTTAGATCAACCGGAAGGAAATTACGAGAAAAGTTATTTGGTGCCAAATATAAAAGAAAACAAGATAATCAAAATGAGAAACAACAGCAAACAATGCAATTTGAAACAACAAAAAGTTTAGGAATTTCAACAAAAATAAAATCAGCATCAACAATAGGTATTAATGATACAACTAGTTATGACCTAAATTTAAATGATCATCGAAATACTTTAAATAAAGAGAATCAACATCATTCACATCACGGTAGTGGTTCTATTTTTTCTAATCAACATGGTATTTTAAAACCAAAAAATAAATTTTTGGCAAAAATATTAGGTAAAGCATATTCATTAGAGAATCTATCAAGTAGAAATAGTGAAATGGATGACAGTAATTCTCTAGGCGTACAAAATAATTCTAATAACACAGTAATTTCAAATAACTGCAATCACTCAAAGCAATATGAAAATAATGGAAGATTTGAAAAAGAACAACAAATATCCAAAGAATATTCTGATAATAATTATTTAAAGTCATTGAACTGTAATATCGAGGAAGTAAAACAATTCTCTCAGTCGACAAATGATTTATCATCTTTATCTTTGAATAAACATCGTCAACAAGAGTGTTTTCAGGCTAATAATAATCTAACAATTATTGCAATACCAAGATGTCCATCTTTAAATCCTTTACCAACAAATATAAAATCAACAACAACACCAACAACAGATATAAAAACGACAACATCAAATTCAATATTATCAACATCAATGTTAAGCCGCCAGTCTGGTAGTTTAAAAGGATTAAATAACTACAACAACAACAACAAGAATAGCTTTACAAATACAAGTTATAGTGATGATATCAATTGTATTGATATTGATATTGATAATACTAATAATAACTATGGTATTGTAATGAGCAGAAAAGCGATATCAAATGCTTCTTTGAGTGTAAATAATTTACATTTTAGTAGTTGTAATACTGGTTTGATATTACATAAACGTCCATCACCATCAACATCAACATTATCAGTATTGAATGTGGCAGAATCAACATCATTACTGAATTTTCCTACAGAAAGTGTTGATAATGTTGACTTTACTGATACTGTAAATCAAAGTTTAACACTTTCAGTGCCAAAAATAAATGAGATTAAAAGATACCATAATAAAAATGTAGTAGATGTTCACAATGATTATAAAATTGATGATGATGATGATGATACTGATTGTTATACTGATGTTGATAATAATAATAGTGATTTTGGAAAGATAAAAGTACAAAAATTATCAGAGGATGTTAGAAAATTTTTATGTCCTTATGATTGTTGTGACGATAAATTTAATTGTACGTAAACAAATTGTGCATAATATTTTTTTTTGTTTTGATTTTTTATTCTTATTTATCTGGGTTATGCATTTTCACATTAAATATTTCAAGGATTTTTTCTCTTCTATTTTTTTGTTTTTTGAAAAAATCCGTAAATAAAACAATCCTTGTTTTGATACAAAGAAAGTAATTTAAGTAAATAACATAAGCACTTAAATTATTATCGTAAAAAAAAAGAAGGATAAGAAGAAGAATAAAATTGACGGCAAATAAGTACTAAAATACTTCCAGCAAATGCATTATAAGATTTTGTAAAATTATTATAAGAAAGCAACTGAGAAGATTTATTGGATGTATGCACTTAAATTTTTGAAAACCATCTTTTGTTGCAAATTGCAATTTTTATAATTGTCGAATGTGGTATACGATGACTTTTTATTGAGTTATTTACGATTAAAGCTATTAAATTTTATAGAAAAATGGTATTATATTGCATCATATTTCGGTATACGAGTGAATTCGAGTATGGTTGAATTAAGGGTGTGTTATAATAAAACGAGAATTCTAAAGAAGAATCCTATTAGCAGAGCAATTCGAAATGAACATTCTTTATAACTTATTATTTAAATGACTTCAAATCATTTATAATTAAGTTTTAGATTTTTGAATTTTTGAAAATGCATAACCTTTGAAATTAAAATAAAATTATTTTGTATTGAGTAATAAAATTTGTATTATTTTAGCATTGGATTTAAAACATCATATTAAAAAAATTCATGGAATACCAATTATATCATTTGGAAGTCATACAGCTGATATTTCATTACCATTAAGGGAACCAATGAATTCATGTATAATTGAGCTAGAATTGAATGAGAAATTATTTTGGATTAAAATTGATGTCGATGAGTAAGTTACAATTTTTTATACCCTTAGAACATTTTGCAAAATTTGTAGTTCATTTACTTAGTATTTTAGAATTTTCTAATAAATTTGACTAAGTTTTAGCAATATTTTCTTAGCCTTTAATCAGTTCTTAATAATTTGTATGAATTGATTTTCAATATAAAAAATAAATTAATTAGATTATCCTGCATTATGTTAGATTTTTTAGATTTAAGTTGCCAAATTAAATATCAAATATATTTTGTTATGTCCTGAAAATAATTTCAATTTGTGGTGTGAGGTGATAAATATGAAAAATATTAAAGTTGTTTTTCGAATTCTTAACACTGAAAGCAGAACTTTCGAGAAATAAAACTGCTTAATGTTTAGGTTTACACTTTAAAAAGTGAAAAATAAAACTTAGATTTCACATTTTTAATTGTCGCAAAGTAGAATCATTTTACTACCATGAAAAAATATCACTTGAACAAAAGTTGAAAATAAAAAAATTATTTCCTTCTAAAAAAATTCTCATTTACCACACAAATTTTTACGTATTTTCTAAAAATTTGATTTTATTATTTCCACTTCATATTTCATTTCTTCTATTATTTTTAATTTGATCCTTTTTATACCCGTATACGAACACATTTTCGAAAGGTATTTTAAATTTGCCTTACCATTTGTAAAGCTCAGAAATAATGATCTAGGATGTAGACACAAATGTGTGTTTTTAATCAAAGTCGAATTCTGAGAATTCAAAAATTAATTGTCAGCATGTCCGTCCTAACGATAACTTAAGAACTAATTGTAGTAAAATCACTAAATTTTCAAAATCTTCATAATATTAAATTCTTGGATGATAACTAGACAGTGATTCGGGTAGCTGCCCTTCAATTTCAAAAGGTATTTGGTTATATCTCACAAATTATTGAAGCTACAATATCGATAAGTTCGGACAAGCAAATATTTTATTGGAACTGTTATGTATGATAAAAATTATTGGAATTTCTTGACTCTTTGTACTAGCTGTCGTACAATTTCAATTGTTATTTGTGATATCTTAGAAGCTATTGATATCACAGAACTGAATTTTTGCATAAATTAACATGGTAATATAGAAATTTAAAGCCATCGTCTGTTCTATAGTCAGATGTCAGATATATGCTCGGGCATAGAATAACAAGTTCAAACGGATATCATAAAGTTGACATGATCAACCCTATTATTTCTCATTTAATGTTTTCCTGATAACTTGAAATTTTTTTTCTCTCTAATAACTTACTCGAAAGTTAAGGTTTTTATTTTTGGCGTTTGCTTTTTTTCTTTTAAAATGTGAAAAACTAAATTGACTGCAAATTAGAATGAATTTCAACATTTTTTTTTATCTCACTTATATTTTCCAAATCAATTCAATTGACGTCAATAATTCCTTTTGAAATTACATTGAAATTTACATTTATAAAATGAAAAAAGAAAATCCCTTATTTTCAACAAATTTTCACCTTGTGTTTTCTTGACACGATCTTAAAAATTCTCTTTTTTTGCATAAATTTTTTTGCATACATAAGAACCTTTTTAAAAAAAGAAAAAACTTAAAAATCTATAAATATTTTTTTTTTTGTTAGAATATTTTATTTCTGATATTTTTTTCTCTTCTTGTATTTTAGAAATGGAAGTATACTTGCAATCGCATTATTTCATGGAACTGAAGATGAAAGTTTAACATTTATGCTTGAAGGACAGTTACGAAATCGAGTTGATGATAAAATACTTGAAAAGGAGGCGATAACCAGGTCAATGGTCCATTCAATAATGAAAAATTCATGGAATATTCAACAAAATAATATTTTTAGAAAAAATTTTAACCAACAAAATATTAATAGTAAATTATTAGTATCGTCATCGTCGTTACCGTCATCGTCATCATCACCGTCAAATAATATAGAAACACAAAATATTATTACACCATTAGAGGGTAATAGAATTGTAATGGAACAACAAAATTGTTATAATGATGAATCTAATGTAATATTAAATGATAATATTGTTAAAACAACAACTATTAGAGATAATATTAATAATACTGTTGAAATTGATGAAGCTACTGGTGATGGTGATGAATTTAATGCACTCAATTGCATTAATAATGAAACAAATCTAAAAAAATTAAACATAGAAAATTACATCAATATCAATAATAATAATCATAGTAACGATAATGGTAATAATAAAAATAATATTGATAATGATAATGATATTGTTGATGATGATGAAAAACAACAAGTGGAAAATGTATTCTTTCATTATAGCAATATTGAAAGTACTTTTAATAATAATAATTTGAAAAATATTGAATTATTATTGAAAATTTGTGTTAAGTATAGGTAGGCAAGAAAATTTTTATTACTGGTATACATGAATTATGTTGCTCCAGCACACATTTTGTATATTAGAATAAGAGAGAATAGTTATATTTTTTGAAAAGTTTTGATTGTAATCAATTAATTTATGAAAATTCTCAATATTTTCATGTAAAAGTATTTTTTTTTTTATATCCTTAACTTAAAATTAAGTATATCTAACCCTTAATAGGAGAAAATTTTAAAAAAATATTTCAAATTTCCAATTAGGAACAAAAATGAATAAGAGATGAAGTTGTTGTATTTTATGTATCTATCTTCCTGCTTCAGCAAAATAGTTCACGTACTTGGTTCAGGATTGATAATTGCGTACATTTATGTCTTCTAGGATTCGAAAGTACTTGAGATTAAAAAATTTGTTAGGTTTTAAATATTACTACCTATCTTACAAATTTGAATTTAATTTGCAGCCAATTATTCATTCGGTGTATAATATTGAAAATTATAAACATTAAAAATGGAACTATTTACAGATAATCCTTAACTATTATACTTGGTATTAACTTTTTTTAATTGTAATTTTAACAAAATATTTTGCCTATATTTAATTATGAGTTCTTTGAAATATTGACAGTATTTTATATAAGAGTATTAGAAATTTTGAAATTATTATTCTTTATAGTTTTAATAGTAAATTTAAGCACTATTTTCTAATATAGCTCAATTTATGTTAATAAATTAGTTTTAGCAGAGAAATTGCAGAGAGACTTTGAACTCTCAAATTCTTCATTGCCATTTGTTGTTTTATTGTAGAAGAATTAATATTATAAAATGTTTTATTTAAAATTTACATTTAATGTGTATTTACATTATGTATAAATAAACATTACTTTTATATTGTAATTCACTAATTTCCATTAAATTATTGAATTACAACATTAACTGTATTACAACAGCGAAAGTTTCATGATAAATTCGTTTTTGCATTTCAATAAAGAACTTTTAAATGATAGCCTACATTCATATGAATTATTTTAAAAAATAAATTGAATTATTTGAAAATTCCAAAAATAAAAATTAAAATAATTAATTCTGACTGTTATATTTAAAAAAAAGTACATTTTAAAAGAAAGCGAAAACAGGTTTTACTTGTACTACAACAAAAATTAAGAGGGAAACAATTTTTGCCAATTTTGTACTTAATTTCATTATTCTCATTCAATTCTACACTTATGTTCCAGATTACTTAATAAATTTTTTTCCCTTATTTACTCCCTTTGGGAGCATAGGGCTGCCACAAAGCTTCTCCATCGATCTATTTACCATGACATCAGTTGATATCCGAATCCCTGTTTCTTGAACCATTTTTGTATTTTCACTGGGCAGATGATTAGTCCATTAGTAAATAAAGTAATTAAGGAAGTAATTTATATATACAAAACAAATATATATTGTGTTTGCAAATTTGAATTTTAAATCAGAAATGTAAGAGACAGATATTTTGAATGAAATCTGTTTCAAATAATATTGACCTTTACTGGAGTTCCAGCACAAGTTGCAATGAACTTTCAATTTTATTTTTCTTATTTTACACAATAAAATTAATTTATTTCTGTATACTTAATCTACAACCCTCAACATTTTTCAAAATTTTTCTTTTTGGACTTCAAAGAAACCTAAAAATAATTTTTTATATAAACTAAAAAGTTGTAATTTAATTTATTTAATCTATATTATTATTATTTTTAATAAATAATTTAAGTTATCAAATTACAAAAAAAAAAAAAATTTATGTTTTAAGTACCCTTATTTCTAAAATATACCAAAATTATCCTTTTTAGTAAACCATTTTTAATAATTTTTTCATTTACAACAAAATTATCAATTTAGTTTGCAGAATTTTTGTAATTTCGGAAAAATATAATATCAAAAGAGGTGCTTAAATAAATAATAATTTATATTTTTCTGTTACAAATTTAATTAATTTCATCAAAATAAAATAAAAAATTTATATAAAAAGTTTTACTTATAATATTAATATTAAAAAAAATAAATTTTCTACTTCAATATTGTTTATGCCCTCTTAATTTGTTTAAATTAAAAAAGTTTAATAAAATTTAATATCTTTGTATGAAACAAAAATAAAAATGAAAGTAAATAAACAGACCAACATTTTTCCAAGTTAAATAAGTACTTTACTTTTTATTTTATTTTGGATATTTTCGTATATGTTGCTGCTAGGACCTACTTGTATATGAAAAAAATATTTTGTATATTAATATGAGATGAGAGAGAAAAATAGTAATGAAATTAAAAGTTTTCAATAAAGAAAGTAAAAATAAAAATTGTGACATAAAAAAAAAATATAAAAAAAAAATATTTTACATTAAAATGTAATGGCGTTACTTAATTTAATTGCAATTTTTTTAAATTAAAAAAAAATTTTTTTTTACAAATAACTTTTCTCTCAATATAGTGCAAATGAAGGTTTCTTTTTTTTTTGTTTTCAATACATAAATATTATATTTTTAATTGAACATGTTCAATTTAAAAAGAATACACAAATAATTTCAACTTTAAAATTAAAAGAAATTAAATTTATGATTTTGTATTATTCTATGCATATAGAGCGAATGAAAATAAGTGGCGCAGAATTGGGTTATTTCACGCAATCATATGGTATGTACCTGCTTCCCGAAGAGGTTATAAAATAAATATTTTAATTACGAAAGTTACTCAATCGTACACAGTAATCTTAAATTATAATTTAGAAAAGATGTGCGGTAATCTCGAATTTACCCGATTCCTGTTAATTCACCTGATAAACCCATTCTTGAGCAATTTTATTTATAACAATCGAAAATATTTTTATATTGTGCCAAAATCACAGAAATTTAGCTGAAAGATTTTTTGTTTTTAAAACAAAATTAATTAAATTTTATTATTAATTAAAAAAATTGCAATTTTAAAATTAAAATTATTGCAATTTTGAAGATATCAAGTTTTGACAAATTTTTGAGGTTATTGCTTAACATACGTAATAAAAATTATTCTAACTCTAAATTGTCTGATGTGCTTTAAAATATACCCAGTTAAGATTTCAGTTTGTAATATTATAAATAATATTGAATGTAATTTGTTTATAATTTAATTTACATAATAATTTTTGAAGTGGTCTTGTGTTAATGTACAATTAACTCGCGTAGAAAAATTCAACAGTTTTTTTGTTTTCTTTTGCGTAAGTAACTTGAATCTTTTCCTCAATTCTACTCTGCGTTTTTGTTGTTGATATAATTTGGACTCAATACACAAGTATATAGCAAATAAAAGGTTAAAGCTAAAATTTTGTAATATTTCGACAACAACGCATACTGTTTTAAAATTAACTCGTATAGTTGACTTATAAGACATAACAATATGTTTATAATACCAAACCAGTCCTATAATTAAACATAGAATTTAACATAATTAAGTACAACTGTTAACAGTGAATGATTAGCCCAATTTTTTATAATTCAGGATCTGGTCAAATATGTCGACTCTCGAGTGGCATTATAGCCAAATGTTTCATATATTTAGGAAGACTTAATTTTAAAGTTAAAAGAAGATTTCCAATTTCTTTTTGTGCAAAGTGTGTATATTAAAAATATTGACTTTATTATTTATAATTTTTTTTTATTAATGTTTATATTTTAAAAACCAAAAATATTTTAACTCTTCACTTATATTTACATTTTGTTGAAAAACAATTAATAATATAAAATATAATTTTTCTGGGTTATCTATGTGTATAGTATTTTTGGAAAATTAAAGTAAAAATCGTTGCTGTTTCGAAGAAGAAAATTATTATTTATAGTAAAAATTAATAAAATATTAATATAATAGAATAGCAATAGCAAGAATAATACAAAATATACGCAACTAATTGAGAGCATTGAAATTTTGTACATGAAAATTTACAAATGGTTGTCAATATTAACAGTTTGAACAGCATTAGTGGATTATGGACATCTAACTAAATTCAAATCTAATCACAATCAAAATATGAAATTACAAATAGTTTACAATGTTCATAGTTTAAAAAGCATTTGGGGGCCATGGGCTTAATACCAATGTAAAGACAAGTAAAATTGTATTTAGACATCAAAAACCATTTTAATTCCTAAAAATTAATGAAATTTTTAGATGAATCTGTATGTGTGTGTTCGAACTATTTTATATAAATAATTTCAATCTATTTTAAACATTTCATACTGGTTTAGAATCAAATATTAAATTTTCTAAGTAAATATGAATTATATTTAAAATAATTTAATGGAATTTAATTAAATAGTAAAACTTACAATGCGGTCATTGTAATTTAAGAAAATTTTTTACGGTGTATTCCCAATTTTTGCGTAGAAAAACATATTTGTCAAAATTTACTAATTGTATTGTAAAATTACAAATTAAATTAGTGTGAATTAAGTATACAGAAATTTTCAATAAGCAATTTTAAATCTGATCTAATAAATTTTAAAATTTTAAATTTATTTTAATTCCAAATTTTGATTACACTCTACAGTTTACACTCTACAGTTTATACAAGAGATAAAAGACGAATTATATAGAACTTTACAATCCGATACTATTCTGTTTATTATTCAACCGTTCGGCAACTTTACGCATACATAATAATTTTCCAATTTTCTCATATTGTACAATTCTTAATTACATACATACATACATACATATTACGCTCTATTTTTTACATACAATTTTTGCGCTCAAAAGGACCAAAAATAAAAAAAAGAAAAACAAATACGAAGTAAAATTATAAAACAAAATAAAAATCATATTAACACGCCGCAAAAAGTCATTATTTTGTTTATTAAAAATTTTAAATAATAATTTTAATTACAAGAATCCTTGTTTTTTTCATTCAACTGACCAATTCAGAAACATAAGTATTTGGAACGTAAGTATACATGCATACGTAAAACATTATTACAGCTTTAATGTAAAAATCAATGCGAGTGCCTATTTTATATATTTTTATAATTTTTTTACGCACATACAATGTACATTAGTAATATTTGTTGCGTGTATGTGTTTGTAAACAATTTATTGCTTTATAAAATATTTTTGTTTAAAAAAAAATGCATAAGGCGTTAAAAAGTGGCACTTGTTAACGGTTCACTTTTATTTTTATTTATTAAAAGTGCAAATTAATATTTTTACAAAATACTTAAAATTCATTTTATATATTTTATACATTATATTATTGAAAGTGATATTCAATATAATGGGAAAAAAAAAATAAAAAAATATTTTTAGATTTTAATAAAAATCCATAAAAAAAATAAAAGAAATGGAATAAAAGAATGGAATTTTTTTGTTAAAAGAAATATGAGAAATAAAACACACTCACAATGAGCAAAAAATTTCACTCAAATTCATTAGATTGTATTACTTTGGTGTCATCCTAAATATATGCAATTTTTTCAAATTACAATATCATGATTGAATATTTGAATTTTTATTGTGAAAAACTCTTTATAACGA